CACATCACCCAAATGTTTGGGTTTAAAGTACTGGTAAATTCCAGGAATAATAATTCACTTTATCCTACAGCTTATAATGCAGACCAGGTCCTAAAGCTGCCTATAAGAGGTATCCAGAGAAACAGATGGAAAATTCCAAGACTCATAATTATATCCATGTTTTTGATTTTTTCTGTGACTTAAACTCTTGACAAACTTGTAAAAATGTTCTCTGGACACATATAGAATAATGCATAGCAGAGGTTTTCCCTGCTACTGTCAAACAGTGTTCATACAGTAATTTAAGCCAAGACAATTCCTCTTTGTGTCTCTTCCAGGGAGTGGTGACCGATGCCTCACCTCAGACGGTGGCTCCTTCATCACAGGAGGTGGCTGGTCAGCAGCAACAGATCCAGGTGGACAGTGCCGATCATGTTCCTGCTTACTCATACCAGTCCAAGTAAGTGCATCACACACTGAAGAGGATGAATATCCTCGACCTTTAAAGCCTAGGTCCTCATACTGTGAGGTGTATCATCAGTGTTAAACTTTTCCCATTGCTGCCATTGAACTGTTATTATTGGATGAGTTTGAATTCTCCTGAACAGATCTGACCCAACATCGGCATAAAAGTCAAATATTTCTTTAGCTTTTAGTGTTTTCTTTAACGCTTTTAAGTTCAAGGGTAGACGAGGATGCAATGCAAAAATAAATTAAGTGAACAGGTTTGAATTTATATGAGGTTTGGGTTTTTTGTAAAAAAAAAAAAAACCTTTTGTAATCATCTATCCATCTTCTACCATAAGGCCTGGACTGGCTGCCAATCCATCACAGGCTACAGATTTTAACCAGCTTACCTATATTTCCACTAATATTTCCATCAGACTTACCCAATAAGGTTAATCTGAGAATGATCCATTAAGTGTTTGACTGACTGTATGTTTGGGATATTTTTCATTTTAAAACCTCAAGTCATGTCAAAGTTTTAACCATTTGTTGATTTGTAATAAATATAAAGAATTAAAGGGGTTGTCCTCTTTTTCGTGATTTTATTCAGTTAGTTTAAAATTCCAGTGCCATTGGAAGCAAATAAAAAAACAAAACCAAAAAAAAACATGATTCTGCCAAAACCCTTTTGGACAGATAAGCAGCTAAGTCTAAAACCTTTTGGCCTCAGAGTTGAATCTTTTTCTTATCTGATGGTAAAACCTTAAGCAACTTAAACATTTCATTGTACATCAGACCCAGTCAAATTATTGAAGTCAATAATCTCGAAACACAGCAACACTAATTTTCTAATCAATAAAGCAAGCTCATACCAAGCTTCCAGAACAATCCTCCTTAAGCCCTTTCAGACATCATATATATGATCTCTGTTGTTTCAGTACCAGCAGAAAACACAAAACCATTGGGAAATAAAGCTCAGCATTATCTCCCTGACGGTTAGACAACGCAACTTTTAAAATAGGTCCACCAGATAAACCAAACAGCAACTGAATCTGTTGTTGCTTGTCAACATGCTGCTACATGAGTTATGCCATGTCTACCTCTCAAATGCTTCACTGCTACAGAGTTGATGCAGCAGCAAATCATAATAATGTTGACACAACAGCATTATTTCATCTCAGACTACCCTGTGTTATCTGCATGACGATTCCCTCACATCAGCACACTGAATGCTAATTAACAGGTTGCCCTACTTTATGATTATTGGTTGTCTGATCAGTCTTTAGTAAAATACAGATTCATTTTCAAATCTTATAATCATCACTACCAATAAAACTGTAACAAGAAGGGGATTTTGATGCAATAGTAACATGTGGTTCAGCAGTAGACTTCTGTCTATTAAGTCTGGTTGAATTTTACACCTTTCATCCTATAAAACCTGACTTATTCAGAGTGGCTACATCAAAGGCAAAGCAAAGATAGTCTCAATATGTGAAAGCACATAATTTTCCATAAAATCTCCCTCATATAACTATGTTGGGCTCAATTTATCTATTTTTTTATTATAACCTATCAGAATTTATTGCTAATTCCATGAGAGATTAAAATATTGACTGATTAAAAGCTGCTTCCAAGTTAGGCAGCAAACCAGTTTGATTGAAACTTCTCAGCTCTTTAATTATAAAAAAATTTGTAGTTTATGCTTCAACTTATTAAAGCCAATATCTTTACTTTAGCCTCTATATTTGAAACTTTCAGCCTAAATTTATCTATATAAATCATTTATGTTAGATGCAGTTAAACAGTGAAAAATAAAGTGTATAAAATACAATTAGCTCTCTTCATGTAGACTTTCTTTGTGTTGTGGGTTATCTGCCTGTCATTGTTATTCAGAGAGCAAGAAAGATGCTAGGAAATGCCTACAGCTGCTGATAGTGGGAAAAAAGCTTTAGTCTCTTTTTCAAAGCATTTATTCATTATGAATTCATGCTCTAACTGGCCTCTTCAGAAAACAGTTGAGATCAAGACTTAATGGGCTAATTAACCCAAATAATTTTGTTCAGCTCACTTGTTTTGCGCCTCTTGCTTTCCACTCTAGTCAGATTATTTCCATAAAATATTGTGGGGGGAAAAAAGTCGGATCAGAACGTATTATTTGAATTTAGAGTTTTCACATTCTCTCATAAACAAAATATATATATATATGTGAAGGCTTTACATTATTGTTTTATGTGGCATAATTTTAAGATATATATAAAGAAAATAACAGTTAGAGGCTATTCTCTTGTATCAGTTTGTATATTTCTAGGGATCAATACATATAAACTTAACTTTATTTCTATTTAAGTTGGTGTGATGATTAAAGCTTCTCAGCTACATTATATTCAGAAAAACAGGAAGTCATGGATTACAAATTAAAGATCTATGCATACAAATAAAAAATAGTGATAAGCTGTTTTATTTTACAAAAAATTACTTAAAAGTAAAACTGAGATTGCTGAGATTTTAATTTAAAAAATCTTAAATATAAGGTAATGCATACACTGAAATAGTTATTTATTCTTATAGGTTGGGTTGGGGTTATGGTATTATTTTTAGTAATATTAGTAGTAGTAGAATTGTTGCTGGGTTTTTTTTAATCTATTTTTATGTGCTCAGTTGTCACAGTCTGACCCAGATTAGAGCAGGAATCTTCTCTTTTTTTATTCTTGATATAAAGGATGTTTTTTGATGTTTTTTTTTTTTTCGGATTGTGAGACAATGTTCTCCCAATGAAAGACGCATGTATTTCAAGGCTTTTCACATATCTTTACCAAGGTGCCAATAAAAGTGTAGGGTGCTTATTCCCTCGCCTAAAAGAACAAGAAAAGCAATCATTGCCATCACTGGCAGGTATTTCTCCGTGATAAATGTGTTCCTGAACAGAACGGGGATTTCATGGGGATTCTAAAATGAACTATTTAGACAATATTCAGATTATTCCAGACTGCTGGTGTCTTTTTTTAGCAGGTGGGGGATTTTAATTATTTGTGTTTTGTCAGCTGTCATCTCAGTTGCTCTCATTCATATAAAATATTTTTTAATTCCACCAACCCCTCTCTCTGCTTTCTCTTCTTTTTATCAGATAGCAACGGCCTGAGCGAATGTTCCTGTGACAGCGTTGCCTTGAGACAGAGGGTGGCTGCACTGTGAATGTGAGGAAAAGAAAGAGATTACTTCCAGATTGCCCAGGCACCAAAAAAGAGACACTTTTTTTTTTTCATTTCCTACCTGGTCTAAAAGGAAAAAAAATAAAAAATCACGACAAAGGCGAAGAGTGCTGAGGAAAGGGGGGGTGTCGGGGAAATTACTGGGCACAGTGCAAAGAAGTAAATTGTTTTAGTCTGGGAATGGAACCTGCCTAAAGGGCTGGGCTGAAGCTTGAAAAGTTTCTCAAAGAAAATTCTCAACTATTAAAAAAATAGAAAATACAAAAAAAAAATTAAAAGATAAAAAATAAAAAGAAAAAAGGTTGAATGCGCTGGTAGGTGATGAAGTTTATTTTGTAATTAGAAAGGGGGAGTCAACGTTTGAGATACACACAGAGATTGTCTTCCTCAGATATTAAGCTACAACTTCTTTTCAGTCTTTTTTATGTTCTAGTGTTAAATATTAGTTTTCTAGATGTATTTCAAAAATGTTTTTTGTTTCTTCTTCTTTCTTGAATCTTCATGGCCTTAATTTGAAGGGCGCCAGAAACTTTTTACAGAGTTAAAATCTGACGTCTCGTTGGGAAGGTTAAAAAAAGCAAATGGTCTCACGAACCTCTAATGGGGAGGGGTTCAAAATGCTGAATGAGTTACTCTAAAGAGAGAAAAAAAGAATCTATCACATAAGCTGTACAGATTTAATAGAGAAAAGCCTTTTGTTTCTTTTCTTCATTAGAAGAAAACTTTGATAATTATTATGTCAGAGGTAATTAAGTGTCAGAATTAAACAAAATGTCTGTTGTCGGGATGGGGTGGGAGGGTGACGCGTTGAAGAGATTTTACACAATGAGGAAAAATAGAAAACATAAGAAGATACGCTGCACAGTGGATGCAGCCTGTTGCAAATGCTGAACTTGTTTTTTTTTTTTATTCTCATCATTTTACATGCCGCTGTTGATGACATTAGTGCTTTTTATCGGCCACATTTTACCTTTTTTATGAGCTTAAAGATGTTTTTAGCCCGCTTTGCTTGTCACACTGCAAAAAATAAAAAATAAAAAAAAAACATAAAATGGAAAACAAAAAAGTGCTAAAAAAAATCTCATAAATTCTGGCAGTGAAATAAAACAGTAGATTCAGTAGGAGCTTATGTTTGGAACCAATCAGTGCAAAAGCAATAGAGGAAATTGTTGACAATTTCTGTAGTTTTTCCTAGTTGTGGATCAAATGCAGCCCACTGATGGCCATTTTTATACCAAAGATGAAGAGACACTCTGAACCAGAGTTTTGGTTGTGTTTTTTTTTTCTTTTTCATTTTTAAGTTTGATTTTCTTGTTGTTAATGTTGAAGTTGTTGATATTAATGTTGTTGATGCAGGTGTTGTTGTTGCAGTCGTTGTCATTTGTTTGCTTCCTTTGTTTTTTGGGTTTTTTTCTACCTTAATGGCCGGACCAGTCCTACAATCCCTCTCAACATGTTCTTTTCTTCTGATTAAGGATCATTTTTCATGGCTGTCAGTTCTGTTTCCCCTTCTCTCACACACATCCACATACACATGCAGACAATGTACACTCAAATGATACACTTACAGCCTCTATAATCATCAGACAGTATTTAAATAAGGTGTTGATCATTCAAAGGTTTGTTTCACCTCTCAGATCTTGCAGGGAAGATGCTAGCTGGAAGAGAGGAAGAAGGTAGCTCAGAGGTTTTTCCTCATGGTTATTTCTGTCTTTCATTTTGTCTCAATGGTTCGACCATTATTAACTCCAACATTTCTCAGCATAATAAGCTGCAGTGAGAATCTGATTGCTGCTTTTTTTATATCTTGATAAATAAACCCTCCAAACGTGCAACTTTCCTTTGTTTTAAAACAAAACGAGTCACGTCTTTCATCTTTTCATACATTCAAATTGTTACTTGCAGAAAATAATTATACAAAACAACTTTTTTGTATCAAGATAATGATTGCATAAACTTTACAACACTAAATGGTACTCTAATGCTTTTCACTTAATGGTACAAAAAGGTGTTCCTTAACCTTAAGGTGTTCATGCCTTTTCACTTTAGCAGCAAGGCACCATTTGGAGGCTTCCATAAGGAAATTTACTTAAACTGATTTCTATATGTTTCAGATGTTCTTTTAGATTCTAGCCTTTTTTTTTTTTTTATCAAATTTTCCAACCCCTCTTTAGAGATTAATTTGTCATGTTCTCACCCTCTTAAAAATAATAGCCCAAGTTCTTCTTTTTTTTTTTTCAGATTTTTCAGCAGACACAACAAAATTAAATAAAGATAAGTCACATTCTTGACATATGCCATTATTAAGTGGGTGATATTATGGAAGTGCATGATTCACTCTTCTGGTTTTTGTCTATATAATGTAACTTTTTTTTTACAAAAAATTACTTACTTGTCTGCAAGAATCCTCCTTTCTCCAAACCAAACATAAGTTATATCCTTAGAGTTACACAAATGTGTTCATATAGCAGCATAATCTTTGATTTTGTTAACGATAGGAATGTTCTCTGTTTCCATGTGAAGCTACGAACTGTCAGCCATCTCACTTTGGGAATGGCTTACCAGTCATCTAAAGAGGTAAACGGGTTTAAGGGCAGAAAGCTGAAAAGAGACCCAAACTGAACAAAGATGCTCCATGTTGATGTTCACATTGATCTCTACATGTTTTCATACATATAAGAAGTAGGATTCCTATGGCGCTGACAGTTAGGCTTTTTATGGGAAAACTAAGCCATGATCTCAGCAAACTTCTCTTTAAAACATATTTTGTTGGGCTAAAAACTTTATTCCCCCTGATAATTATCAATTAATTTGTTTGTACATCCTTTTGCACATTCTATTTAGTTTATATATATATATATATATATATATATATATATATATATATATATATATATATATATATATATATATATATATTGTCAATTTACAAAACTTTAAATCATCTGGACCGATTAGTTAAAAGTTTTCTTTTTTTAAACCCATTTGATTGCATCAAGTCATAGACTCTACAGTATTAACTCCTTCAGTATGACCATGTAGGGACTTTAAACCGGACTTGCTTTGAGTTGTTCACATCCACATTCTTCGGGACATAGGTGTTTACCATAATTCAAATCTTAAAAAATACAGAAAAATAAGAATATACATTAAAAAGCAGAGTTAAAAAAAGGTAGACAAAATAAGGAAGATTAAATCAGGCGACTCGTTTAAACGTTTGCATGTATTAAAAGCCTAGCTGAATAAAAAGTTGAGAGCTTTGAATTAAAGTGACCAGGTTTAGTCAGTGATTGAAGATCTAGGGGATTTCGACTCGAGGTTGGGCATAAAAAGCTCAGTCGCCCCAGCTTATGTACTCTGTCTGACCTCAAGGTCTTGTGTTAACAGAACAGCTCAATATTTCAGATAAATAAGGGGAGGAAAGACGGCAAAGTGCTTTAAAACAGTTAAAGTGAAATTAACATCTTTTCAAACATAGATAGGAGGCCAATGTGATGACATTTTTTTTTAAAAGTCAGTGTTCCCCTTCTGGGAGTGTGACTTAAAAGAAAAGCTGCTGCTTTCTGATCAGGTTTTAGGCAATGTAAGGATGACTGGGTGACACCAACATCAAGAGGACAGCAGCTGTGATTCTAAAACCACTAAAAGCATGAACAGCCTTCTCCAGGTCACATTAATTTAAAAGAAAAAAGCTTGACTCTGGAATGAACTACAGAGACTGTTTGTTTATTAAAATGTAGATTTGTAGGTTTTTGGCAGCCTTATTGTTAGTACAATCCACCTTGTATTTGCCTACACCTGTATAAAAGTGTAAAAATCCTCAAAGTTTAACAATTGTTTTTTCCAAAGCCAAATATTTAGTTTAGAAACTTTTTTTTTTTTTTTCTGGAGAAAAAAAAAATCAAGCAGTAATATAATTACTGTTGTGTCACCTGCAAAAACTGTATTATAGATGCAACAGATTTTAGAAGATAATTAACTTTTTAATGGATCAGAGATTCTAATTAGTAACCCACAGTGTGTCTCACGGGATTAAACATGACAAAGAAGCCAATTTCAATTAAAAGTTGGAGAGATAAGAGAAAACAACATTTAGGTCTGTTAGATATTAGTTGATCCTCATAAGAATAGCTTTTTACTTAAAGCTCCGCCAATTCACAGAACCAGTTAAGATATCTCAGAAAAATAATGCTCATTACCAGACACTCATCAGGATGGGAGGACAAAACTCACTAATAGAGAAGGACCAGTAGCATCATGTGGTCACCAAGTCTGGTACGCTTGAAAACAGCCAAAGAAGTTGTCCATTTGTGTCCACTTTTTTAAAGAAATAGTCAAGGTTAAATATGGTCTTTAAAAGATTATATCCACTTAAAGATAATGATGCACTATATTTCTGGATTCCATACAACTTTTATGAAGTAGCAATGTTAGTAACTTAATTTTTTTTTTTTCTTAGAGCTGCTTCTGCATAGTAATAACCAGTAAAACATTGAGCAGAGCTGGTTAAAACCAAGCATTGGTGCCTCATTGCCAGTGGTTCTCCACCAACTTTGTTACACTAACAAGCCACAATAGTGGTGTGTTTAAAGCCAAAAAAGATGTTAGATTGTCCTAAGCACCTTCCTGATTATCTCCCCACTCTGGCAGGTCTGTGGGAACTAAGCGTGCTCCTCACCAGCCACATCAAGTCTTGATGGCAGCCCCTTGCGAGGTTGCTACTTCGAGTGTCTATAACACCCCTCGTTATCTCGGCAGGCTGGACAAACTACCCCCTTTCCTCTGATTCTATCCTGTCCTGATGCTGAGCAGCATGAGGTTTGCGGCGACTTCACAACAGTGGTCCGTCCCCAATGGCATTGTCTGTAGGAGAACAGCAATTTCTGCCCACATTACAGCAGCTTGTTTGTGTTTTCAGTGTTCACCCTCCTGCTTCGCCCCAGCTGTGTTGCCGCAGCTCTAGAAAAAAAAAAAAAAAGAAGAAAAACACTGGCACATTTTATGAGCATGGAGTAGCCAGGCCAGGCTACTTCATGCTCTGCTTTTCCTTCCCTTACTCCTTGTTTGCCTCCTCCTTCTCACAGTTTCTATCCGAGGTTTCTCATCTTTATTAGGTGGTGCAAAAGCAGAACCACAAACCAATTTCAGTCACTCTTGCAATGAGCCTTGACGGGCCCAATTTGTCTCCCTCTGGGGCAATAGGATCCACTTCAATGTCCCTCAAAAGACCATTTTTTTTTTCCCAAGAAAGAGAGAGATAAGGAGGGAGGAGCTTTTTAGTTTGGTGACATTTGCAAATAAGATCTTATTTGATTCTTTAGTTCAAATGATGGCTTGGACATTGCAGACAAACTATGTTATCATGCTAGATACTGTGTTTAACAAACAAATTGAACATTTAGTGCCTTTTTACAAAGCTTCCAAATGATTCCACATCCTCTCAGTAGTAAAGCACATGAAGAGCTTATGGAATCTGCTCAATGGTGCTAAAGAAGGAGCTGTTCCATTTGATCGGTGTAAGATTGTTGGACCTCAAACTAATATGTTAACTTGAGATTGCACAAATGAAGCGGGCCTGAGGGTGCGTGCTTAAAGCCATAATATCTTTTCATTTTTTTTTTTCATAGTTCAACAATATTTGTCTTCCATCTGCTAAACAAGATGTGATTTCAAGCTACCAATGTTCCAGGTCAATTTGCCCCTTTGCCTGTTTCCAGCCCTATATTGAACCCATGTGTTTCCATTTTATCTCCACCTACTTCCAATAGTTTCAGTTTATTTTTCTTCAACGTTTGGTATTTAATAAAAATAAAAAAACACATAAAAATGCACACCCTGCATGTATTGATTACTGTTATGTTTATTTTATCAAAGAATACTTTTGCCACTAGAGATGGTATTTATTTTATGCATAAAAAAAAAACATTTTCCTCAGAATACAGTAGAGGCAATGTGATCTATTCTTGAAGTGCATATACATTTCCATAGAAGTGCAAATTAACCTTAACTAAAAAAAATGCTGGAGTG